CCAAGGTTTTTTTTCTGTTGCAGCTGCTGCTGCTGTTGGAGTCTTGTCATTTCTCTTTCTTTCTTAATTAAAAGCTGCCACATTAATTTATTTGCTTGACCTATTAGGGAGGTCCGCATATTCATTGATTCTTTCAGACATCTGACTCTGTAGTGCCCCTCTCTGTCTAGTATTTTTATTTAATTCCACAGAGTTTGATGATTATCAAATTTCCTCCATACATAATCAGCCATGCCTGACATACACAATGAATAGGGGAGTTATATAGAGAGATTTATATCTTAACCGTTCTAATGAGAAATGTCCATTTTTAAGAATGAAAAATATACTAATTTTTCCCATTAACAGATAGCAAAAAGTATATAGCACTAGTATTTCTAGTTTAGTTTCGAATTTACCATTTCAATCGCCAGACTATTAAAAGTTGTTTTTGTTTTATGATCAATGTTATTTTAATTTAATGTTAATTGGCACACATTTTAGATAGCTTTCCCCACCCTCTTGAAGAAAAAACTTTTTTTAAAAAAGAAAAAGTCTGTTGTTTGAATTATTTATTTATAAGAATATGAAAATTAAATCTTAGTAAATTCCATAAAAATTGCAAAAATATAATATTAACATTTGATTATATAATGCAAATCATTATATGATAATATAACAATTTCATGTTTTTTTTTTAACATGGTTGTATTAAAAACTGCATTGGGTTTACATGCACCTGACTAAATAATGTGTAGGATAAATCTATTTTTCTGCTTAATTAGTTTCATTTTAATTTTCTCCTCTGAATAAATAAAGTGGAAAAGAAAAGGACAATAAATAAATAAATAAATCAACTTTTTTGCCATTCTTGTATAAATCTTGAGGCATATAACAACACATGCAACTACCGATTCTTTCTTTTTTTCTGATGGGACATAAATTGCTATATTCTCAATCTTCCGGAGAGGAAAGATAAAAAAAAAAAGATACAACTATAATTTCCAAATCTCTAGTGGTTAAAAACAAGACTTTGTGTGTGTGTGTGTGTGTGTGTGTGTGTGTGTGTGTGTGTGTGTGTGTGTGTATGTCCGTCCGCGCGCGCCCGTGCACAGGGGCGCGTGAAGTTGAAGTGTGAAATGCAGAGAAAGAGAGAGAGAGAGAGAGAGAGAGAGAGAGAGAGAGAGAGAGAGAACGAATGAATAAATGAATGCAAGAAAAAAGACAAAGAGATAGGGGAGCATTCATTGTTGTATCTATCAGTTAATTAAATGTAGAAATGTATACCAGATTTTCTTAGACTTGCGAAAAATGCAAAACATGGCAATTTTCATTTGATCTTTTAGTTTGATAAGTATAAATAATTTATTTAACAAACTGAATGCTTTCAGCTCATAGAAAAGCTCCGATGATCATTAACATAAAGCCAATTTTTGTATGAGTCAAATAAGTAGTCAAAAATTTAGAAATGATTTCTGCAATTCATTATTGCTAATAGGATAGAAATCTGCAAGCTGTTTTAGAGTAAATTTTGGTAAAGAGTGAAGGAATCAATTTTGGTAAAGTGTGAAGGAATCAATTTTGGTAAAGAGTGAAGGAATCAATTTTGGTAAAGAGTGAAGGAATCAATTTTGGTCAGGAGTGAAGGAATCAGTTTTATTAAGGAGTAAAGGAATCGGATTTGGTAAGGAATGAAGAAATCAATTTTTGTAAGGAGTGAAAGAATCAATTTTAGTAGGAAAGAAGTAATCAGTTTGGTTAGGTGTGAAGGAATCAATCTTGGTAATGAGTGAAGAAATCAGTTTTGTTAAGGAGTCACGATAATTAAAAAAAAATAAGGACCTGAAAGTAAAATATTCTAGTTCATTTCGAAAATTAATAAGAGTAATGCTTTTAAACAGATAATAGATTCCAGTTCAGTAGCATTGTCATACATTGAAACCATGGAGCAAATTTAATTCTATGTTCAGTTCTCAATTCCAGGAAAAATATCCGTGGTGTTAGGGGTGCTGACAACTTCAGTTCCTTTCTATAGCAACGTGGATGTTGATAATACCTTATTTTGTTGATAGAAACAAACTAAATGGAACATAAATTCTTATTTATAAATAAATAAAACATATATAAATCATAGTTTTATAAAATAAAATAAGACATATCTCGGCTGATTTACAGGCAAATACTCAAGAGCGAGAGCCAGATGTGAACGGGACAAAACCCCGTCACAAAATGACCATTATCTTCATTTACAAATGTTCCCGACACACGTGTTCCGGTCGAAAAATAAAATAATATTTAAAGTGTTCTATTTTTCGTCCAATAAAAATGCTTCCCTCCTAATTATACTCGCTTCGTTTTTCGAGCCTGTTAAGCTATAAAAAAAAACGCTATAAAAGGGGTCACACGGAAGTTCAACAGGCAGTCAACAGGTGGCCACAAAAGAGACCTGTCACGGTCAGCAGCTGACAGCAGGGGAGCATCACCCACCGTCAACATGTGTGAACTACTATGAGAGATCGACCTAGATCCGAAGCCGGCTTATGAACTACACCACAAGGTAGCTGTCTCAAACCCTCACGTTCCTGTTGAAATAAACCACGTAAATCTATTTCTGCTGTTGTCGTATTTCTTTCTTGCAACCATACGCTTGTCTATAACAATAGAAACATAAATATGATTAACACAATATCCTATACACTTGAATAAATTATTGTGTTTGTTATTATGGGGTTCCTCGTCATTCTATAACCTTCTTCATTCTTAGAATAATTGATTTTGTGAACTTTTCTACGGCGTGGGGTAATAGCACTGTAGTCTGGTTGACCGTAAGTAAATTCGAGCCTCACTGACTCCCTACCCCAGTTGCCTTGTACCAATTTTTTTACTGTTCAAACATTACTTGCAACAATATTTATTGCTTTCGAGTGATCTTTTTTTGCTCGGATATTGTTTTTTTATTCTCATATACATCTCTTTTAATCAGGGACAACTAGTTTTGAATTGGATTAATATCTAATGAAGTCCATTCCATTAATTTGGTGTCACTGAAACCTTTTTGGCAAGGTGGACAATAGTCAGCTTTGCAGAATTTGAAGGAGCATTGTCCTGCATGAATATACTCTTTAGCTGAAATCTTTTTGGTGATTGTGGTTTTCATATAGATCTGGCGTGAGACAGTCGCCGTCATATCTGCCAAATTACGCAATAGTACTCCGCAATAGTACTACGCAATATTACTCCGCAATAGTACTTAACATTACCGTAACCAATACCTTTCTTTTTGTACAAACTTAAAATGCCACAATGTTAATCTATTTCTATATATAAACTTTATTCATCGGATCTTGAAAAATATTTAATTCTATTTGACGAGTAAAACTAGAACAATGAGATCAAAGTACTTCGCACGCATGTATCTTATATTAAGTTAGAAGCTAGAGAAGTCTTCAAGTGTTTATAATCTTACAATTATGAGGACAACAAAGTGCATTGGCCAAATACCTGCCAGCCGGTACCGATTTTTTGTTACATCAATAACTAGTTTTATTTTTATATTTTCTTTTGGTTGTTTAGTTATATAGAGTCCATTTTGAGTTCAATTGGCAATATCTCGAGTCCATTTTGCCCGACTGGGCTAAAAAATGGACTTTAAGTGACTAATTAGCACGTTCCGGATTAGTTAAAGCGTTCGCTTCCCGACAATAAGACCCAGGTTCGAATCTCACCATAGTCGATTTGTCAGGAAGATGCCTACTTGATTTTATCGCCCTGGAGAGTACCTGAAAACCATGACTCAATCATTGGGAATGAAATTGGGTAGGCGGAACTATTTGAGATCCGTCGATGGTTATGTTAGCTCGAAGGTCTGAGCGTAATGGCCTTGTTCAAACTGTGCCTAATAAGGTGCTCTCTTCAAAAAATTATAATTAATGTCCGCTTAGTATAATTGCAGTATAAACAACAGATGGGCTTTGTGTTGAACAAACACAAATATATCTGAGTAGTCGTCTGTAACAGGGATTGATTAGCCGCCCTAGTAGGCAGTCATACATGGATACGAACGGCCAGCCATTAGATGTAGAATCATTGGACAAAAAGCACATGTCAAATTTAAAGGATCTTCATAAAAATTTAGATTTTGTCTCAGTATACTTCTAATAACAACATTTCTTCTGTGATGTAGCAAAGGTTTAATCATTCTGAATTCTATATTTTTCATCAGGTCCTCTTGAAAATTCTTCAATGCGATTTATTGATTTTAAAATTATATGCATTAAGATTAGAATAAGGGGATGATAAATGGAATACAAGGTAAAATACTACTCATAAAGACTTTTAGGAAATGTCCCCCCGGGGGGAGGGCATTTCGAATTTCTATATAATTTTGATTGTTTAGATCTTTAAACATAAGCAAAAATCGAAATCTCAGCATTTTAAAGAATGTATTACAGTAAAACTTAATGTCAAACACAAGCGGAAAATGTTATTTTATGACGTCGATGCGACTCGTTCCATTCCCTCGGCTGAAAGTAGAGTTGATCGCTTCGGCCCAGGTCTTGTTTCGCCCAAATTTATATTGATTGGTACCCTTTGTCCGAATGGTCGACTGGAATTGATGACTTGGTTTGTTCCGGTCAGAGTAAAGTCACAGGAAAGAAAAAAAATAAATTCGTTAGAAGAAAAACATATTTATATACAGTTACTTGATACAAAGTTCATGGTACAGTTATTAATGGCTTAAACAGGTCAATATTCTTCATACAACAACTCTCGGCCCTTCCCGATTATCGTGATACACTGTTTGTTGTTTGAATTTTGGAACGAGACTTCTGGAACAAGGCTTTAAGTCGGAGACTTTTTGTTCAGGGCGGCAAGTCCCATGAGAACAGGCGAAGCGGTGGTATTCTACTCTCGCTAAAGTCACTCTGCCGTATTCTGTCTGCGGTGTCTCCGCCGTCTCTGTCTGTCTCTACTCAGCGTTCTGTTTTTATGGACCCATGTGCAAGTTGCTGGGGTGTAACATGATTGCTCCAGGTATGCCAGCGCTCCCCAATCAACCAACCAGGGCTCTCCCTGCAAATGCCCAAATATGGGGGAGCTCCGCCTCCCTCCTTGGAAGTCTACCTGGGCCTTCTTCATTTGATCACCTGATTAAACCCATCTCCTCCATGATTTGCGTGAGTGCCTCTCAGCATCACTAGCCGCGTGTCGTGGAAAGTCCTCTGCCTTCCCTGAAATTCTACCTGGGCCCTCTCCTCCTTGGTCACCTGATCAAACCCGTCCCCCAAGGGCCAGGCGTGGTCTAGCTAAAACGGCCAAATTATCGTTCAAAATTCTTTCGTATCGTGCTTTTATGTGTGGTCGTTTTCGCATTTATGATGTTTTTATCCCCTCGTCAATCACTTGGTCAACAAGTGAGAAAAAGGGAACAATCCCTTGATTTTGGGAAGTTTTTTTTTTTATCGCGTTTCGGCGTATTATCATTCTACACATATGTTCTTCTGGGAACCCGTCTACTTTTAAAAGTTAATCCTTATCAATCAACCGAACTCGCGATCAGAGGTCCGTCTTCCTCTCCTTCACTCAATGGTCGTAAAAATATTAATTATTGCTTTCTGGGAGGTCCTTGGACCTCCAGAATAGCTCATCACTTAATCTCAGTTCTAATCGAAACCAGATGGTCTCTTTGTTTTACTCCCCCGGCGGACGAGAAATTTAATTACCTACTAGTTTTTTTCCAATAAAATAACAAATATCCTTTTCTTTCATTTTCCTTCGTCTGGTCATCGGTTTATCTTCAGTCTATCTGAAATTAGTGTTTTTCTGCCTTCTAGTTTTTTTGAATTAAAAACAATTAGCCTTTTCTTTAATTTTCCTTCGTCTGGTCATTTGTACATTTTCAGTCTATCGTAAATTAATGTTTTTCAATTTACTAGCGCCTTTCAAATACTGTCACATCTCTCCCTTAACCTTTCTGTCATTTACGAGTAAATAATACAAACAGAAAATTCAAATCCCATTACTGACTACCAATCTACTTATGATGCATCTTTTTTTTTCATGCAACATTTTCGAAAGTTCTCTTGCTCCGTATATCATACAACGTTTTAAATGACTTTTTCGTTTTTTTCTGTTTACATTATGAATCATTTTAATACATGGGGTTCGCAGCACCCCTTAAAATTTCCCTTTTTTGTTTTCGATTTTTTTTCTTTGATTATCATTCATTGTGTATATATTGGATTCGAAGCACTCCTTAATGTTTTTTTTTATGGTCTGCCCTGTCACCTTTCTCTTCGCAATAGGTGGCTTCGATCGCTCATCAATAGGTGTCGACTCTGGGCCCACCTCTTTCGTCGAATCTAGTTTGGTTTATTTTTCGTCTTCGTTCAACCTGTTTGGGTAAAGAACACTGCACAGCACTCCCTCCTCGACCCGTTGCGAATTCGCCAGAACACCATCAGCCCCAATACCCGTTTTTTGCTTTCCATATTGTCGTCACTATAGCAGCAGTAATTATCAAAGTACCTATCAATTCCGACCAGTTTATTATGATCCTTTCATTTTCCTCCCAAACTATACTCTCTTTTCCAAAACATTTAACTTGTCTTTTAATTGATTCAAACTAATCCTTTCTATTGGCTTTAATTAGTTTAAGTACGCCACATATATAGGACATAGTGAAGTACACGTTCCCTAAGAATTAGCCCTACACTTCCTTGCTTCTGTCGTCAGCACCATACATTTTGTCCTAGCCGAATCCAAAGCTACATACTCCGTCTCAATTTGGTGTTTTGCAACTGTCCCTAGGCCCTGATCTACTCGTGGGTAGGGAAGAGGTAAATTTATAATTTGATATATTTCAAAAATACTTTCTTTGTCCAACAGTGGAATGGATATCAATACCAACAACTTCTTGTCGTCTAACAAGGCAACACAACCTAATGCATTGTAGCATTTCCATAATTCCTCGGTGGAGTCCACCGGCAACCTCAAATGATGGGATAACTCAGCCTGTATCTTTAATAACAGTTCCTTCAGGTGACCAGGGGACAACATATCCAGTTGAGCTCTCACATGCTCTACAAAATAGTCAAGAACTGACTAGTCTGTCGCACCTTATTAGTAATGGTCATTAACTAGAAATACTGTTGTATAGTCTCACTTAATTCTTGTAACCCAGTCGTCACCGCCTCCGAACTATTAGCTACCCCATGGTCTTAGTTTTCGTAGGTTATTTACTAACCGATTGATACTTATCTTATTCCTTGTCAGTTCTAACTTGTCACATTCAGTACTGATACGCTTTCTCTCGCTACCTGAGCTAAAATCCTCTGATCCTTTTCTACCTCCCCAGTTCTTTCCTTATCACCTTGACATTATCTTCTGTCACTGTTCCGCTTTTCCAACCATAGGGGCTACTGCTCTTTTCTTCTTTATCGCGTTTCGGCAGACAACATAATTGTATTATCACTCTCCACATATGTTCTTCTGGGAACCCGTCTACTTTTAAAAGTTAATCCTTATCAATCAACCGAACTCGCGATCAGAGGTCCGTCTTCCTCTCCGTCACTCAATGGTCGTAAAAATATTAATTATTGCTTTCACATTACTTGAAAGGAATTGAGATGTTACAAATAACAGCTCAATTCATTTCAAGTAATTCCTCATATCTTTCCACTGGGCTTCCATTACAGCTGTCTCCAATTCCAGGGAGTACAATAGTCTAAGATACCTCCCTTCCCTGGGATATTTTGTGCTACCTTCGCCCTGGCTATACCCAACCTTCTTATCTCACTCTCTAATTTGTTCAATAATAACTCTTAAGGGTTTAAACCTATTACAAAGGTGGCCAATCACTTTGACTTTGTTATTATTCGCTTGTTTTCATGAAAATCGTATTTTGGCTGTGTTCCGAGGCTCCCGTCATCATCATCATGACCACCATCATCGTCATCAGTAGTATCAGTCCCCTCATACCAGCCATTCACGTCGGGGTAACAAGATTTCCTTGCTTTTACTCCTCTAACCACTCATTATTTGTTTATTTTCATACTCAATTATTCTGGAACACTCCCACTAGTTCCTTCTCTTAGTTTCTGAACTTTAACCTTTATTCTTTTAATCAGCCCTTATTAAGTTGGTTGGATTTAAACAGGCGTGCGGCGCTTTCGCCCCAAAGGTCGTGTCTCATTAGTACCACCACTGGACATACACAACCCGTGTACAGACCAATGACAGCATCAACAAGGAATTTCCTCTGCCCTCTGTGACACGCTATCCACACCTCTATCCTTTCCAACTAACCCGTACTATTATTCTACAGGATGACTTATTTTAAGGAATCCAATGCCATCACACACCAAATTCCCGCCCCCATCCCATCTCCCTTACTTTTAAATTTCAATTAGCAATGTTAACTATCAATATGATTCCGGACAATCCCCCCTTCAATGTGCACTGTAATCGTTTCCATGACACTCGATCACTTCAGATTTCATGCTTCGTCCATCAGAACCAAACAATCAATTTCTTTAGTAATAAGCCACTATTACTAAAATATTCCTCATATTTAGATCCACAATATCAACCCGATATTTCCTTTCTTATGTTTCAAAAACACCTCACCCCATGGCGACGTTACAGGTTTACACCACATCATCTCCACACCCAGCAACAGGGTGGTCCACGTTTAAAATCGATCTCACCAGCGACATTAAGTTCGAATTTATCCAAAAATCAACCAACAGTGGATACAAGCCTCATAAAATAATGAAATAATTCGGCTCACCACCCCTTCGTTCAAGCAACGAAAGAAAAAAAATACTACTGCCTTTTTCTAAAATGCCTAATAAAGAATTTTGATTTCCCCTTCTTTTGTTTTCTTTACTTCAGCCGGTGGCTTTTAAAATCTGATTTCAATTTAAAAAAAACATAATAATAGCAAAGACTCTTGACGATAAAATCTCTCCGTATCTAATATTCCTTTTTTTTTTTATGACCAGCAGACAGTAAACCCACTCTCTAATAGAGTCCACTTCACCCTGCCTCTCACTGTAAGGGATCTTTTTAGTGGGCTATTCATTACTTCTCTCTCCCTACTTGATTCTGTCTTTCTTCATCTTCGTCGTGTTTTATTTCTCTCAACTGCTTTTGGAGTTGGGAGAGAGGGGGGTATTTCATTCTCTTTTTTCTCAATCACTCAGCTCTTCTCCGTTTTCGGGACGTTTCGAGCCAAAACCCATTTAAGTTCTCTGCTTAGCACCCGTCCAGTGAGGGTTTCTCTATTTTTCTCATTACATGTACTTGGGCGTCTCCTGGGCGTTTCCCTGGACCCATCTGCTGGGGGTGTAGCTGTCGACGGCTGGGGAGGGAGGATCTGCGAGTTCTTCTTGAATCTACAACACCTCGTCTCGTGTCCACGACGACTGCATCTGGTGCATCCCTGCTCATCACAATCCAGGGGCAATTCCCACCTTCCTGGACCGTCCAATGCCATATGGCCTTCATGACGACAGGTCCAACATGTCCTCCCCAACCGGACTGGTGTGGGTTTGTAAAACCCATTCCCCTGCGTCCACGCCCTTCTATTGGGAACCTCTTCCCATTCCACTCTTAACTTTCCTATCCTATGTGAGGGGGGTGGTCCCCTATCCCTAATCTACTTGCCTACCTCCCGACTCTGTGCTACTGCTCCCTTCTCGCTAACATTTTCCCAGATCCTTTGGCTATCCTTTGTCAAGTCAATAGCCGCTGAGAGTTTGGTTAGGGCCCCTTTTATCACATCATGCCTGATGCGCTTGTTATGCGGTGCTTCCACATACAAGTCAACTAACTGGTCCTGTATGGCAGAGTTGTCCCTGATTTCTTGGGTGAAAGCTAGAGTGACCAATTTTTGGGCTTTCACTCCCAAATCTCCGGGAGACACGCCCTTCATCTGGGTCAACTTCACAAGTCTTCTCATTGCCTTAATTGTGGTGCCTTCGTCCGCAAATTTGTTGATCATTAGGCTCTCCAGGTCTATCCATGTCAACTGAGGGTCCCCCATCATGCAACTCTCTATAAACTCTGAGACCTTTCCCTCTGCCGCATTGTACGCTAGGTAGAGCGTCTCTATTTCAGACAGCTCATATATGAGCTGGCCCTTCCGTATCGACGCCAGCCAGTCCTTTAGATCCCTCGGATGCCCCCAAGGTCGGAACGTCATCCTGCTTTCTTCTTCCACCCCTTCGGATATCTCTGACCCGTTGTCACTCATTTTGACTTAATTAACAATTGAAATTGGTGAAAGTACAAACAAATCTGGCGAACTTCAGCAATAATTCGAAAAAGGGGAAGACCGAAAAAGTATCCTACCTGTTTCTTGTTGTGCGGTCACCAGCGGCCTCTAGATTGTTTTTTTTTTTAATGGAGATCAATAGAACCGTACGGTCCAAAAAATAATTGACCAAAAGTCTCTTGGTTCTATTTCACTCATTTGGGACGGGTCGTGGTCACTTTTGGGTCGTTCCTGGTGTAACTGCACCAATTATAACGTTTTCCGGGTCAATCCTGGTCCACGGCAATCAATTATGACGTCTTCAGGGTCAATCCTGGTCACAGCTACCAAATATGACATCTACCCGCCCGTTCCGTATTCCAGTTCGATCCCCTCGGCTGAAAGTAGAGTTGACCGCTCTGGCCCAAGTCTTGTCTCTCCCCCGGTGTGTTTAATTGATCGCAAGACTGACTTGGTTCGAATAGTCGACTGGAATTGATGACTTGGTTTGGTCCGGTCAAAGTAAAGTCACACGAAAGAAAAATAAATTCGTTAGAAGAAAAAAATATTTATATACAGTTACTTGATACAAAGTTCATGGTACAGTTATTAATGGCTTAAACAGGACAATATTCTCCATGCAATGGTTCCGATTATCGTGACACACTGTTTATTGTTTGAATTTTGGAACGAGACTTCTGGAACAAGGATTTAAGTCGAGTGCTTTTTGTTCAGGGCGGTAAGTCCCATGAGAACAGGCGAAGCGGTGGTACTCTGTTCTTTCTGGAGTCTCTCTGTCGTATTCTGTTTGCGATGTCTCTGCGTTCTTTTTTTATGGATCGTAAAAAATATTATCCAATCAAATGGTCGTAAACATATTATCTATTTCTTTCCTGGATAGCCCATCACTTAATCTCAGTTCTAATCGAAACCAGATGGTCTCTTTGTTTTACCTCTCCGGCGGGCGAGAAATTTAATTACCTTCTTCTAGTTTTTTCCAATAAAATAACAAATATCCTTATCTTTCATTTTCCGTTGTCTGGTCATCGCTATATCTTTAGTCTATCGAAATTTAGTGTTTTTTTCTCTCCGTGTTTTTTCTCAATTAAAAACAAATATCCGTTTCTTTCATTTTCCTTCGTTTTTTTTTTTCAATTTTAAGATTTTCTTTCATTTTCATTCCTTTAGTCATCGGTATATCTTCAGTCTATCGGAAATTAGTGTTATCAGTTTACTAGCGCCTTTCCAATAGTTTCACAATTTTAGTTACACACATGACAGAATTTCAAATGTTTCTGACATATAGGCGTGGTGATTTAATTTGGGTATTTGACGAAGCCTTAGCCTTTTCGTTAGTTTTTTTTCCATTGGCAGTGATGAAGGGTTGGTGAACAAAAAAATGTCACAAACCAATGTCGTGTCAAAATGGGGACTGCTGTCACAGAGATGTCACTTATGTCGTCAATATTTGCAAGGGAATTAAACAAATTCACTACTTCTCGGGATCTAGCGTTTATGTCAAGTAAAGCAAAAACTGGATAAACTCCAAGGTAATATTTATTTCAATAGAAAATAATGGATGGTAACACGCACGCACGCACACACACACACACACACACACACACACACACACACACACACACACACACACACACTTGCAGATACATATATGCACACACACAAAGATATATATATATATATTTATTTGCAAATGTGATAAATATATATGTGTGTGTATGTGTATGTGCGCATGCAATCAAACTCATTATCAAATATAAATGTAACTACATATCTAAATGTAATTACATAGATATATTTAACAGTGTAAGCATCCATTTGAATACGTGTATCTATTTAAAACACTTACAGATATATATGTATGAAAATATGCGCAAGAAAAACTTTAACAATCATAGTACTTTAAATCTATATTTCTGTTTTATAGTAATAAATTAATAGGTTATTGAAAGAGACCATAAAAACTAACGTAGATCAATGTATCAATATTATTTTATATAGCTAAAGAGTATACGTATACACACATATTATAGAAGAGAAATGAATAAATTCTAATAATTTATGTGACGGTACACAGTCAGAGAGGAAAGGCTTGATCCATAGAAAAAATGTAGGAAAAGTAACTAAGTTGAATGAAAGTTATGAAAAATCAGGTGACGTAAATTAAGTGACATAAAATATTTTAAATTTGACAAAGCAAATGCACATAAGTCAAAGCATAATAAATTCTAAGTGTTTGTGGCTTCGATAAACTGGATAGAATGTATGACACAGAAATGTATGCCCAATTAAATGTTCAAAAGTACATTAAATTTGAAATGTAAATCTTTTTATTCTTCTGCAAAATAAATATTGTAGAATTTACGAGAATTAAACCGGTTAGAAAATAAGAAAAATCGTCTGTGCCTTTTGTTCTACATTATTACATTGAACTTGATCAATTTACCGTAAATTTAAAAATTGTTATAACGAAGACGTAATATTCTAGTGAAAGAGATGGAAATTAGTGAAGTTATATCAGATAGAAGAAGAAACACAGAAAAATAATGGAAAGAATGGTCATTCAATAAAAGAAAATTGGCTAGTGATCAGTGCATGTTTAATGAGACAAGTTACGGGAATAAAAAAAAGAAAAGAACAAGGAGAAGGTTAAAGACAAAAATAAAATAAGAGAAATGGGATAATAATAATAATAATAATAATAATAATAATAATAATAATAATAAATGAAAAGTAAAATAAAAAAGAAAAGAAAGAAGAAAATACGATAAACAATAGGATGAAAGTGAAAGAAAAGAAGCAGAAGTGCTGAAAAAGATGAAAAGATGCAAGAGAATGAAAAGTTTATAAAGAAGAAAGAAGCAATAAAACTAAAGAAAAGAAAGAAAGAGAGAGAGAAAGATAGAGAGAGAAAGAGAGAGAGAGAGATGAATAAGAAAAGGAATTAGGAAACAGGTAAGGGGAGGTTATGAAAATGAATGAGAAATAATAAAACTAATGGAAAAAAGCAAAAATAATTCTTGGAAAATTAAAATGGAACGAAAGATAAATGCTAAATATTTAAGGAAGCAAGAAATGAAGGGCAGAAAAATAAAGTTGAAGTAACCTTTTTGCAGATGGAACATTTAGTGACATGGGTAGTTCACTGACTATTCAGGATTCGAATGCATCTAGATAGATGTAGTATGATTAAACACGTTCTTGTTGGACAAATGTCTTTTAAGAGGGAATTGATTGAAGCCATGGTTTAAAACAGATGATGATGTTTGACACCTTGGGTTTCACAATTTGCAATCAATTTTAACAAATGAGTCAACCAATAATGCATTATCGTATATACTAAAAGATATTGTTAGGGAGATGTGGTGAATATCGCCATAACTATAGGGAAGAACTCACTTCCTTGACTACCAAGAATAATAAGTGTCTACTAGTAAGAACTAGGTTAAAAAGAATGATCAAGAGGTGTCAGTTCGAAATAATCTGCCAAAGTGCCAAGAAAGTAACACATCCCAGCATTACATCAACGAGTAGGAGATCCTAATAGAATACAAAGGAAGTCATTTAAGAAATGTTTCGAGATTCATTCTGGCAACTGTTTATTAAGGGGTTTGGTTTCAATTCGACTCAGTTTGACGCTTAACTACAATCGAAACAATGAAGCAAGAGGAGATTTTAGAAGAAGGAGCAAACTGCCGGAATAGCTGACTTACGAATTGTAGTAATCGACTTCGATTAGTATTCTGCGAGGTTTCACTCTGTACAGAGAAAGTGATGTGCAAATACAAGTATATGGCGAAAGCATTAGCAGTTTTAGGAAGATGTTGACTCAATCAAAAAAGGACGCAAAGTTAAGACTGATCAAGATAGACGAATTCAAGGCATTCAAAAAAATTGTATCATCGCCTCTTCGGGGTTGTCTTGTCAGCATCCGCACTCGTTTTCTATATGAATCTACAAAAGTTGTGAACGAAGCAAGTTAAAAAACCTTCACACTGTCTCGTCCAATTCATTAGTTTTGGCTGTTTTCATCTTTGCTTTTTTATCCTATGTATATTCACGCAGTATAGCTCTGCCTAGAGTTTTCAACTTAGAGTTTTCATGCTTACTGTCTAAGCTGCCAACGTTTTCTTGCCGATAAGAAACAATGCAAAGGTTTGCCAAGAAAATTCAAATGTATGTGACAAAAGCAATGGTCAAATTTGTCCTGAAATATTAGTTGTTTTGCGGTTGGATGCTTGGAAGGATTTCTTTCTCTTAGGCCACTTCATTTGTAAGAAATTACTGTTAAAGAAGTTTAATTCGTGACAACCTCCATTTAGAAAGAACTGAAAGGAGATACCAGAGAAACTCGAAGTAGCCGGCGTTTTTTTTTTGTATCGAAGAATTTTTAAGTAATAGATGACGTATGCAGATTGCATCATTAAGAGTTGATCATCATTTCCTCTACCATCACTCTATCTAGCATTAGAAATGTCTTTCAAAACTGGTATTATGATGTTCCTGTGGTGTACCTGGTTGTCTCAGATATTCTGAAAATGGCCTGGGACTTGTCGGAATACTCATCAACGAACAGACTCTAGATTGGATGGTGACCTATGACTTACCCTTCCATCAGTTTGTTTACCGGTTTTCTATGCTCCATTGGATTTATATGAATTATCAGAATTAAGAAATATTTACATTCACGGTGTCATTTTTTATGCAAATCAGTGTTTTCACAGCCGATGTTGGTCATTGATTAACACAATGTCTCTTATATTTGAAGAAATGATTTTATTAATTTACATGTTAATATGAGCTCTTTGACATTCTATGAACTTTATCAGTCTTTAATCGATTGATTTTGTTTTTCTACTGTTTCAACTTGAATATATATATTGTTTTCACGTTTTTAGCCAATGTTTGTAACGATTTTTTTATTTGCGTTCGCAACACAAGTTCTTACAAATATTCTCTTTCTACTCAACCATTTTCTTGTTTGCTACTCTTAATTTTCTCACATCTCTTTTGTGTCATTCTTAAAGACAGTTGTATCTATTTGTATCTTCACATTAGTAAAACTAGTCAGGCATGTTACTCAAATGTGAACAGAACAGGGTGTTTTGACTCCTCTGGAAGTCGGAAAATAACTTCATATTTTTAGGAATTAAAAAGCTATAAGCTAATTTTTATTTTGAATGAAAGATTACTTCTATAGAACATTCATAGTTGACGTCTTATCATATCTGTGATATTCGGAATATCTAAGTATCTTTAAGTCAATGTCTTTACAATATCTTGTAGCGCGGTTTGATTATGCATATTTACTTTATTTACATTTTCATTTGTGTTTCGATTGTATGACAAATTTACATTTCCTCTTTTTCTTGTTATGCTCGTGGCCAGCACTTGGAATCGAACCTCAAAACCTTTCAGTCTTTTCCCCAACCAGCAAAACCAAACCAAAAACTTCAAAAAACAAAACTTTTCTTGGTGGTATGACAGGCGAAAGAATAACAACAAAGACCATTCAGTTTGTATTATCCACCTGAAAAAGAAGGAGAACTGAGAGGTGAGTGGGTGGGACCAAGGTACCCAAGCATACTGTGGAGAACACACTTACACACACAGATATGTGTATGTATGAGTGTCCATGTTTGTGCATGTGTGTACGGGCAAGTATTCACTTTTGTGTCCCATTGTAAAAAAACAAAACTTTTGAGTCATTTTTGTCTTATGCATTTACATTTGGTGGAAATATCTTTTGAATGAAAGATAAGCGGTGGTAGACTTTGTGAAATTATAATCCAATGAAAAAGAATAAGAGAAAGGAAAACAAAG